TTAAAAGAGAATGAAGTTAAGTTTTTAAAAGAAAAATTTTAAGAGAAAAGTTGGTTTACATTTTATGCTCTTATTGTTCTTTTTTACTTTTCATACTTTGAAGAAGTCAGAGAATCAGTATGGATGGCAATGGGGTGGGTACGAGTTTCTCTATATTCGTCCCCATCTCTGTCCACATACCCTATACTTATTCTCGTCCCCAAATTTGGCTAATATAAAATTTGTGTTTCTCATCTCTATACTTGTTAGATATTGAGTATATACCCATACTTATCCCATATCCATCTAAAAATTAATTAAATATATTTTACAAGAAAATATAAAAAAAAAATAAGAATTTTAGCATATAATAGTAATTATAAAATTACATTAATTAAGTTTTATTTGACACAAATTAAAAATAGAGTAAGAAATTACATAAATTTTAAGTAAATCCTAAAAAATAAAACTAAATATTTATAAATTTAAAGCAAGTACAAGTATAAGGGCGGGTATGTATATACTCATCCCCGTTCTTATACCTAATTTAATAAATTGGATATTACTTGTACTCGTACTCATGTCTGATCAAATAGAAGTATTTTTGTCAAAGTTGAAATGAGTTCAAACATCACTTACGTGTATGAGTTTACTTGTCATCCTTGAGAATCAGAGATCACTGAATATCACTCCAAAGATTAGTGGTTTGTTCATCGAGTTAAGGAAAGAGCGAGTAGTCTCGCTTTATGCATGAAATATATATTCGATAGTGAAATTAACTCTCAATTTCTTATATGTTCATGTATGTTGTGAGGGAGGAATCCTAGTTTTATCTAAGATTATATGAATTTGTGTTTTGTACTCTTCTTATGTGTGTTATATGTGGTGCTTGAATTGTATGTATAATTAATTTTGTGTAATTTGAATTGTTTGAGAATTTGTGTTTGTAGTTCCTATAAAAAAATCCTTGATTTACAAAGTAAAGTGAAAATTGATGTTCATTGCATGAATACATAAAATTGATGTTAGATTTGAGTAATTGATGGTATAATAGGATAAAATTAAGCTTTAATCATGATTTTTATTGATTGGTTTGGAGTTTTGAGGTTTTAGATTCATATTGTGCGATTTTTTGCACACTCTATAGGCTCCTCATGCGTGTTGGACATCAAATGGGTCACACCAGACTCCAGTTAACATTGTTCCTACGAGGTTTTACTTTAGGCACAGATGCGATAAAGAGGATTTTTTTTTCCTTTAGACACTAGGCGCAAAAAATGTCATACCTAGCGTGATAATGTAAGAATTAGATTTTGTGATCTTCATATGAATTGTAGTCCTAGATGTTAGCTTTCCAATGTCAATATAAAAATTGTAGATAATTATCTTAATTTTTCAACAAAATTAAGATAAGCTTGATAACATGTATATAGCTATAGATATTGTTTTTGGGCCACACGAGGTCATAGAAAATTTAGTTATAAAATGCAATTTGTGAATAGTGATGATGAATGACTTTACCCATTAAGTATTTAATATTATTAATGGTTTGAGGTACTTATGTTAATGTTTATAAAAAAATAATGAGAAAGAATAATTGTGAATAAGTTATCATGTGAATTGATTGTTAATGACTTTAGGTGATTTGGTAATAACGATATGCCTAAGGTGTTAATGTGTGATGCCGATAACTTACTAGATTAATCAAGTTATTAATATAAATGTTTAGTTTGATGATAATCTCTTAATGATTATGGTCAAAATATTAACATATAATTAGATGATTTCATAATAATCTATCATGAGATGTATCGGGTGATGTTGTGTAACGATTGTGCTTGAAGTAAGAACATGTGACTGTAGTACTAATTGATGTGGATAATTAAGTATCAAATGTCGGGTGTGTATTTATGCTAATTTGAGACATGGTTGATGTAAAGGATGTGAATTGGTATTGGTGTTGACAAATTGTTATGTGTGGATCCTATTAGAAACATGTGATGGCAAATTTTGAAAAATTGCGAATATGCTTCGTGATAATATGATATTGCATTAAGTCTCGTTTGACATGCATCATATGTATACATAACAAATCAGTAAATCGATACATACATACATACATACACACACTTAATTGGCATCACATGCATATGCACATCATAGTTTGTGTGAATTGCATTACATAAGTTAATGTAAATTATCTGATGAAAGTTGTTATAAATTGTGATTGATGTTGTTGTACTATATTTTTATTGGTATATAGTATAATTGTGATAATATTTTGTAATCGTGTATGTGAATGTGTAATCATGTGATAGGTTGTATTGTGACTCAATAGTAGACAATGTTATGATATATACCTTGTTAGTGTCATGTGTTGTTATTGTTATATCATGTTATTACTATAATCTATTATTGTTGTATATCTTGTTGTGTGTTTGACTATCTGACTATATTGTATGTTGTGAGTCAAAGTAAAATGTTTTTTAATTTTTTTTTCTTTTGTTGGTGCTATTATGTTTGTGTTGTAAGTGAGGATCATCATGTGAATGATGAGACTGAAGGTGAGACTTATGTTTTAGGTTAAGTATTGTACTTTAATAAAATATAATATTAGAATTTAATTAGGATTTCATTTTATTAGTTTCTTTATATTTATAATTTCATGTTAAATTTTGTTTTATATAATTGTTATACTAGACAATTATTTAATTTTTTTTTTGTAATATGTTATTATATGAAAGATTTATCTAAAATAACTTACAGACCTTTATTTAATTAGTAAAATTTACTTTTGGACACTTTTTTATTTTATTATTGTATACACTTATGTAAATATGTAAGATAGATGATGCACATGTCGCATAATATCTATTTTGGTCATAATTTTTAAATTTTTTACACGATTGCTAAATGTTACGATTTTTTATTTTGCATAAATAGGATAAGAACTATATATGTGGTGTCAATATAAACTAGTTTTTATTCATTAAGGTTTCTGTCAAATCACTAATGCATGAGACTTAGATTGGTTAGATATTCATACGAAATTATTTGTACTATATAGCAGTTTTCTTATGGTTATTTTGGGACAATTCGACAGTGTATTTAAACAGAAAAATACAAAATCAAATTGTATGATTAAACTTTCATGCGCAAATTTGGTAAAAGTTTGAGTCAAGGCCCCAGGCAGGATAGAATTAGTTAATTTTTTTAGTAAAGAATTAGACAAATTTAAGCTCGTGAAAAAAGAAGGGTAAAAACCATTGGGCCTTAACTTTCATTTTCAAATTAAATTTAAGACGGCCACGATTCATGGACACGGGTTGGCACCTAATTTTGACAAAGTGGGCAATTCCCACGTGAATGTTTTAAATGCGCAAAGATTTATTTATTTATTTATTTCTAAATTCCAATACGTCTAGGTCTTAGCATATTTGTGTACATCAGAATAAAAGAGATATTTCATACTTTTTAATTTTTAAATTAAAATTAAAAATTAAAAAAGAGATAATTAGGCAGATAGTTATCCAGAAAAATATGAGATTGTAATGTGTAAATGAGTAAAAGAAAAAATCTTGCTTTTTTATAAAAAAATATTTTTAACAATTGATGGATATAATGTGTGTGTAAAAAATTATTGAACACTTGTATGGACTGTTGCGGGTTGCATCAATTGTCCCGTGGCGGAGGCTAGATGGGTCAAGTCACTGTCGAATCATGGCGCTTGGGCTGCTGCGCTCTTAAGTAAAAAGAGTTGCGCCCTGACTATCAGCTATAGTTTTTGGCCTAGTGGTAAGCGCTCGATCCAACATGGACATTTTTCACTTTCCAATTAAAAAAATTAGAGTATGATATTGTTTTTTTAGTTGTTTAACATAATTATAATATAAACACATGTATAATGGTCTGATAAAAATGTAGAAATCAAAATATTTACTAAAGATGTTCAACGGTCAATTTGACTTTTAAATTTAAGGTAAATTAAAGTCTAAATCAATCAATTTTGATTAATTTGATTCAGATTGAATTTACTAAAAAAAATATACAATTTAAATCAAACCAATTAACAATGAATTGATTTGATTCAGATTAATTAATTTTCTTTTAAGAAAAAATGGTAGATATTTATTTTGTTAAAATAAAAATATTTTATTAATAAAATAAGTTTAGGTAAACTTATTTATGAAATAAATAGATTATTTCTTTATATATATGTATTAATCTTCAGTAGCCGATTTTAAAAGTGCTACTTTTAAAATCGGTCATGAAGTAGCTGATTTTAAAAGTGATGCGGTGGCAATTTTGTAAATAATGACATTACTTTTAAAATCGGCTACTTTGTGACCGATTTTAAAAGTAGCACTTTTAAAATCGACTATTCAAGAGCCAATTTTAAAAGTAGCATCAAAGGTTTAATTTGTACTCGGTCATTCTATCCCTTCCCCTCCATTCTCTCATCTTTGCCTCCATATTTTCTCTAGATTAAGCTACGAATATATTCTTCTCTTTACTCCGTTGGGCTCTCATCTCTCATCTAAAGTGTCCAGCTTGATATATTCTTCTTGGAAGGTAACATTGTCTTCTCATGTATGTTATTTCGTTGTTGCTGGGCGACTTTTTAAACTGGAATGGCCCGTTCTACTTGCAGAACGGCCCGTACTATAGGCAGCACGGGCCGTTTCGCTTGCAGAACGAGCTGTGCTGCAGGTAGCACGGGCCGTTCCGCAGGCAGAACGGGCCATTCCGGGACCGTTCTAGACTAAAGTTTTAGGTATTTTTCGGATTCCGGAACGGCCTGTTCTAGTTTAGGAACGGCCCGTTCCAAAGTGGGCTCCTTTATAATTTCTTTTTTGACTCACCATTGCTTTATATAGACAAATTAGGTACCCAACTTAGAAAATTAGACACCTTGTATGTATGTGTTATATATTTGTATTTTATTAATAATTTGTGATATTTGTGTTCAATCCCAATAATTGTGTTGTTGTTGTTGTTTTTTTTTTCTTCAATGACTACGATTGTATGAAACTGACACAATATTATCATTGATTGAACATTCTTGAACCTGAACTGCGCTACATGAGCTCATATATGACTAATTGATCACACAATATGAGCAAGTCCCAAAATTTAACAATTAACGGAGTGTCATTATCCAGGAAATGTCTTTTTAAATTAAGCTCTCTTGGTGGCCATTATGAAGACATATCAAGTGAAAACGGACAGTTTGATTATGGTAGGTTATAGCTCTCTTTGGATATGGTGAGATCACAAAATCTGTTGGTGAAAATGAGTAATATATGTGCTCCAGAGGGAAGGATGAATTGAGCAATTCAAAACTTATAAAATATTTTTGAAAAACTTCCAAAGTGTTTGTCACTCCCTTATAATGTTAGATCACTCGATCAATTTCCTTTTGGGTTAAATTATGAGATATCGTCAAATGCAATAAACAACCTATGATTCTGGTGCAAATTTCTAATGTATATTCAACTCTATAGTCTATACAAATACAATGACCTCTACTTTGATGGAGTGCAATGAATGGAATGAATCAATGAATGGAATGAATCAATGAATGGAATGAATCAATGAATGTAATGAGACAATTTGTATGTTCACAATACAACCTGTACTTACCTAGAGATGAAGTACTTGTATCCTCCCATCTCCTTCCTCATCACCTCAGCTCCTCCAATGCTTCTTTTCCTTTTGCCAAGATTGCTCCAATGTGGGTAAGGTACCTACAATTTCATTAGATGCTCAAGTTAGCTGTGAGTGATATTGAGGTGTTTAAGTGTTAGCTTGCTCACCTGTGTGAACTTACCACCCCTTTTTATAAGGGTATTGTTGATAAGATAAGAGTCTTATTGATAAGTTATCTTTAAGAGGTGATAGTTTGTCTTTTATCTCGTGTTGATGATAATTTGTTTACTGTTTCCATTATCCTGTAGCCGAAAACCCTCCTTATCCAAGTTACAAGTTGATCAAGGATATCCTAATCCATCCACCTTGAGCCTTGAGGGAGACTGAATTAGCTGAGTTCCTCCATATTCCGCTAGTACACAACCAATATCCCAACAATGATGTCAGTGTATCAATGTTATTCAATCAATATCAAGATTCAATGGTAATTCACATTTCACAATTCAATCAATAGAAGTCAAGATAATGATCCATTCAATCAATTTTCACAATCAGATTCATTAATTGAAAGAGTAAATGTCTAAGAGAATTTACACGAGATTTATATTTGTTCATTTTCTACCACTAAAACTTGCAGCCAATCTCCAATGCAAAAGATGGGATTTTCCATTACAAGTAACCTTTGTAGAATCACGTGCCTCACTTAAATGAGACATAATTTGCAAGCAGAACTTAAACTGCCAGAGTTGCAAAGGTGATGCTTTAACAGGGAATGGAGTTAAAGCTATGCGATTTTTGTTGTTAATAAAAGATATCAAATTATCTACTATTGATTTCTATTAAATTGAAAATTATGCTTTCCAGCCAATGGGGACATGATTTCCGGCCTGATTATCGGGGATTGGGATCTCTTAAGCAACACTTTCCAGGTGTACGATTTTATAATAAATTATACATATAAATAAATATTATATTTAATATATAAATTATGTTGTCTCTCATTATAATTATAAGTAATAAATTATATATTTTTTGTCATAATTATAAGAAATGGTCAATGGTTCTTAAGGGTATACAACATTTTTACTCTTGATTTATTATTAACTCTTTCTTATATATTTACTCCTTCTATATTCATTGAGTTATAAATACTTACATTAAATATAATAATTATATGAATTTTGACTTATAGTATAATTAATTAAATATCACCAATTTATGTATCTAAAAATAACAAATATAATTATTTTTTTATTGATTTACCATATATTGCTTATAATTAGATTTTAAAATAGTATTATTTTACAATTTCTATAAATAAATGTTTTTTAATATATAAATCATATTTTATATTTATGATAAATATTTTATATTATTACACATTTTTTAATTAATAAATTATTATTTTAAAATGATTAAATTTAATTTAAATATATATATATAATAATAATAATAATATAAATTAAAATAGATAAATATCTAAAAACTCTCTAGTTAAAGAAAGACATCTAAAAGTACCCTTCTAAAAGAAAATTTCCTAATTTTTTTTATTAATAAAATGGCGGAGAGGGAATGCCACTTGCATGACCCCACCCTAAATTGATTTTAAAAACAAAACTTCCGATACAAATTTGAAATGTTAATTTTTATCATTCAATTCAGGTATTATTTTAAATTTTTTACAAATAATCCAAAAAAACATTTAAAAATGTTATTATTTCAAATTTTTAATTTTATTAAAAATATCAAATGTTAATAAAATGAGTAAATTTCACTTTTTCCTAAAAAATATAAATATTATAGTTTTTTCTCTCGATAAATTTTAATATATGACACTTTACTTATTTTTAAATTTTTTTATTAAAGTTATGCTAATTTCTGTTAAAAACAATATATTACCAAAATAAACTTTAGTAACATGCCCTAAAAAAATGTAAATATCATATCACAGTCCTTCTTGTATTAAAATAAATATTTATTTTCTTAAGAATTCAAATATATTATATTTTGATAATTTATCCCTTAATTTACATATATAATTGTTATTTTAAAAATTATAAATTTTACTAAGTTTTAATTATATGTTTTAAAAACATATATATTTTTCATTTTTATTTTTATAAAATATTTTTAAAGTTATATCAAGATAAAAATAATATATATGTATAATAAAATCAAATACAAGCATTAATATAATATTTAATCAATGTAGTTAATGTAATATTTTATGAATATTAAAATAAAATAGTTTTTTTATTATATAGTATTAATCATATATTAAAGACACACATATATATATATATAATATTATTTACTTACTGTTACAAATAAATTAAATAAATTATTATAATAATATCTAAATAAACTAGTGTTTTATAATAATAAAACAATATTTTTTATTTAATTAATATAATTTTAAAATATGCATATTTAATATATAAGTTTTAACTGAATATATTTATATTAAAAATATAAATGAATATAATTATTATAAAATTAATAATTATATGTATATATGTATATATATATATTATTTATATTAATGTACATAAAATTTATTTTATATTTTAATTAAATAATTTAAATTTAAGTATATACCTTGCACTTTTTTAATCATGTGAATGAATGAAATAAAAATATTTTAAAATATATTTTAATTAAAAGTATACTTTTTATGAATAATTAAATTAAATTTTTATTTTAAAATTTCATAATAATTATTCTCTAATGATGTTAAGTTAAATAATATAAATTAATATAATAAGAGATTGATAGTATAGTACTTATCTCTGAGAGATAAAAATGTATTTTATTAAATATTTTAATGTATGAATGATAAAATTTTAAAATCTAAATCTTGAACCCTAAACATATCTTAAATGAAGATAATATAATTTACATTAATGATATTAAGTTAAATAAATTAAATTATATATTTTAACATTAATAACAATATAATACTTTATTTCTCAAGAGAGAATAACATAATTTGCTGTGATAAAAATATTACAATAACATTTTAAAATAACTTTTCAGTATTTCTTTTTATCATAATAATTACAATAAAATTCAAATTTTAAATCTTGTATATATTACCCAAACCTCTACACCAGCTTTAATGATTCAACTTTCAACTAATTATATATCAAGATTTGCTAAACAAATAATATGCATTACTTATTTTAATTAAGATTTAAATATGTTCTTCGTATCTATAAAACAGTTTTGGTTGTAAATATTGAAAATTTTATAGATATGTTTTTGGTTCTTGTAAAATAAGTAAAATTTAGTTTTGATCTTTTTGTGAAATATTTTTTTCTTTAATTTTTTTTAAATTCAAAATTACTGTTTTTTTTTCTAATAATTATTTGAGATAAATAAATAACATTTATTTTAAAGAGTCATACAATTTTTTAAAGTTGTACTAACATGTATCACTGACAAATATAAGTTAAAAACATTTAGGAGTTGTGGATAATTTGAGACAATCACTTGGAGGTTGGATCGTTGGAGTGGTGCATGCGGCTGCGGTTGTGACTTGAGTCTCAACTCTTAGCATTTTTAAGTTTTAACCTAAACTTGTTCCTAGAATCCCAAATGCGTATGGCTATGCGAGGCAGGGCCGCAAGAGCACTAAAGTCTTAAGACTCTTAAGTCTTAATTTTATAAATATTAAATTTTTTTAAAATAATTAAATTAGATATAAATATTAAAATTAGGATTGGGACGGAGACAAGGCGGGTAAGTATATATTTATTCATGTCCCCGTTTTAATATTTTAGATTTTACTCATATCCATACCTAGTCAAACTAGATATTTTTTATTAAAGTTGAGACATGTTCGAATATTATTTATAGCTACGAGTTTATTTGTCATCCCTAATTACAAGAGACCAAAACAACAAGTTAACAAAAAAAAAAAAAATAGAGAGACCAAAATCAAAATTTACTAACTAAATACATATTTAAGTATTTCATTTAATTTTAATTTTATTAATGGAACCATTTTTGTATTTAATATATTTTTTTACATTTAAGTCTTTTATTTAATTTTTATTTATGAAACCATTTGTATTTAATGATTTTTTTTACAGCAGTATTTAATGAATTTTTAAGACTTTAAGAAATAACTTATTGATGTGAAAATTATTGACCTCATTAATACTGGTCATATTACAATTAAGAAAGATCTTACTTTTGAGTCTCAAAGATAGTCCTGCATGCAAGTTTTCGATTATAGAATTATGATTAAGATTTAAGGCATTGACCATAAAGAAATACGCGAGACTATAGGCAAGAACTTAAAAAAAAAAAAAAAAAAAAAAGAGAGAGAAAGAGAGGACAATGAGATGTGGGGTCAAGAATTGAATTATGCCCTCGTGTATTTGGATCCTTTGAGAAACCGAAGTCCTAAACATATATAAATTAAAAAAAGAAAAAGAAAATAAAAAATTGTTTGTAAGCGAAAGCGACAGCACAAAAGGAAAGGGTGGAGTGGACGTGTGTGGCGAATATTCACTAGATTTGAATTACTAGTTCGATTCCGCAACACTATGCCATGGTCTTATCATGCAAGAAATGATAAGTTCATATGATAAGCACTTGTGCTTATGAAATAAGTAGATGTACTTATGTCTGATGGGTCAGTAGAAAAAGAGACCTTGTACAACGCATCGAAGACAGCGAGACCAAGTCTCTCTTCTCTCTCCTCCTCTTATCCGCAGCCTTTCAAACCCTAGAAAATCTCGAATTCCGAGCCCTTATATATAATCCTCAGGGCTCTAAATTCTTTGAGGATTTTCAAGTTTAATGAGTTCGGATTTCGAGTTGAGGTGAAGAGGGGGAGAGTTTCTGTGAGTCACATCTGATTTGTCGTGGTGGGTAGAATTTGAATTTGAGTTAGGTTCGGTTTTTGTATTGCTTGTGTTTAAAGATCAGGATTCGGAGATTGAAATTAACGGTGCGGTTTCAAATTTGACTTTCAGATATGACTTCTCTGAGCAGAGAATTGGTGTTTCTCATACTCCAATTTTTGGAGGAGGAGAAATTCAAGGAGTCGGTACACAAGTGAGCACTCTGCTATTTCCCCCCTTTCTCTCTAAGTTATACATGTCTCTGATTTTAGGTTTGGATGTGATTTGCTTTGAATTTGAAATGTGACAATTCTGTTTTTGCGTCCTATTTTGACTCTTTGTGTTATAATTAGGGAATTAGTGTTTGGAAATGAGATGAAAAAAATTGAGAATAAGGGGACAAAGAACTTATCCATGACGAATTAACCTTGTTTTTTCTCTTGTAATTTACAATTTGGACCGTGAGTTGCGGTATTTCTGTGTTGCTTTGCAGTGTATTTTATCTACTTGACTGAGTTTTGTGTCAGGGTTCAATTACTCTTTGGTCATCCATGTTCCGACAAATCTCCATTTTATATGTTATTTGGTTGGGGCCATACATTAATTTCTCCTTGGTTACCGGCTTCATGTCTGATTAAAAAGGGCTTTAGTCCCAACAAGTCTTTTCAAAATTATAAGAGTTTTTTTTTTAATTTCTTAAACTGGCCTCCTGAAACATCAAAGTGTTGTTCTTTCTTTGTTGCTGTTACTCCACTTTGCTTTATGAATTGGGGAAACAATTAACTACTTAAGTATTTGAAAGCTGAACTTGTAAACCTTTTATGGGTAATAAGCCTCTGTTCCTTTCATTCAAAAAGCTTACTTATATAATGTTCTTCTTATTTGGAGAGTTGAATTGAGATGATAAAAATATAAATTGAAGACTCTCTCTCCGCCTCCAATTAAGGTTTTTAGTTTTTTGAGGATTTTTTTTATATTTGTAATAGTTTTCATTATCATATGGCATCAACTCAGCTGTTCATGTCACTCTTTTAAATGCTTCTTAACATGTGCAGGCTTGAGAAAGAATCGGGGTTCTTTTTCAACATGAAGTACTTTGAGGAGAAAGTGCAGGCTGGTGAGTGGGAAGAGGTTGAGAAGTACTTATCAGGGTTTACCAAAGTTGATGATAATAGATACTCGATGAAAATATTCTTTGAAATTAGAAAGCAGAAATATCTTGAAGCGCTTGATCGGTATGTGGAACTTTGTATCTTTTTAAAAGAATTTCTAAATGTATATTTGCTTGTTATGAAACTTCACATCTTGTTTTGCCTCTGGTGTTTCACAATTTCAGGCAAGACAAGGCAAAGGCTGTTGAGATATTAGTGGGAGACTTAAAAATGTTCTCCACCTTCAACGAGGAGCTATACAAAGAGATAACCCAGTTATTAACTCTTAATAATTTCAGGTAATATCTTGGATATGTGATGTAATAAAATGCATTGGTTGTCAGTGCCTTCTCTCGACTGTTAAGTAGATGAGACTGTTAATCTGATTCATATCTCAAATCTTTGTGAATCTTGATTAACAACAACTCAACTAATTAAGTGGTAAGCTTGACTTGACAATTGAATGGTATTTTGTTTCACATAACAGGGAGAATGAGCAGCTGTCCAAGTATGGTGACACCAAAACTGCTCGAAGCATTATGTTGATAGAGCTAAAAAAACTCATAGAGGCAAATCCTCTTTTCCGTGATAAGCTTATCTTTCCTACCCTTAAGTCATCAAGACTGAGAACCTTAATCAATCAAAGGTATAAATGATTAACCAAACTAAACTTTCTACTGACTCTATCTATTTTGTTATGCCCTTTCATTCTCTTTTGCATAGTTGGTTTTTGTCTTTTACTCTTTTTGACTCATGCCACTTTGGAGCAAAAGTAAAATCATGTGGCGTTGTTTTTTGGTCATGTATAATGGTATATTCCATATTTTGTGTGATGTTTTAACTCCTTATAAATTTGAATTTGAATTTTTAGCTTGTTGTGACTTGCTTTTACTTTTTCCCTTTTTTCCACTGAATTTATCTTTTATCAATGCAGTCTAAACTGGCAGCATCAGCTCTGCAAAAACCCAAGGTCAAATCCAGATATAAAGACTTTATTCACAGATCACACATGTGCACCTCCTAATGGTCCTTTAGCACCTACACCTGTTAATCTTCCAATTGCTGCAGTTGCAAAGCCTGCTGCTTATACTCCACTTGGAGCTCATGGTGTATGATACCTTGCATTTCAAACAACTGGTCACCTTGATTTTTAATTGATTGATAATATAATTGTTACTTTGTTGATTAATTAATAATTTGATTTTTTATTTTGTGTAGCCCTTCCCACCTGCTGCTGCAACTGCCAATGCTAATGCTTTGGCTGGTTGGATGGCCAATGCTTCAGCTTCATCATCTGTCCAAGCAGCTGTTGTCACAGCATCAACCATGCCTGTTCCACAGAACCAAGGTTAAAATTGTAGTTGTGCTATCATTTTGAATTAAAACGCCATCCTATTTTTCCCTTGAAATGTACATGGTATGCGCTCGAATATTTTACACTCTTTTGAAAAGGCTGAGTATCATTGGTGTCTTGGAAGTTGCAATTTTGTTTACTTTACTCAGCTAAGTGAACAGGAGAATATATTGATATTAAATAAAATATGCTTGTTCAATAGTTTCACAAGAGGATGTTCTGACTTAAACCTCACTTTTTTAAGCAGTGTCTATCTTGAAACGTCCTAGAACACCTCCTGCAACTCCTGGGATGGTTGATTATCAGAATGCTGATCATGAACAGCTAATGAAAAGGCTTCGTCCTGGTCATTCTGTAGAGGAGGTATCTTTGATGAAATTTTGTTCAATTTAGCTGTGTCTCACATATTTTATGATGCCAGCTGTTTTCTTTTACTTTTGACTTTGTAATGGCTTGTGACTCATGTTAGTGTGGTTTATTTATATAATTTAAGGTTTCTTATCCCTTGGCTCGACAAGCATCTTGGTCGCTTGATGATCTACCAAGAATGGTGACTATGACATTGCATCAGGGATCTTCTGTGACAAGCATGGATTTTCATCCTTCTCATCAAACCTTACTTCTTGGTATTGTTTTCCATGATTTTGTTATGTCTAGTATCTTGGTTGCCAAAATACCAACAAAAAGCATAACTTATTTTTCTTCGAATGGTTATATATTTCCAATGTGTAGTGGGTTCAAATAATGGTGAAATTACCCTCTGGGAACTCAGTTTGCGAGAAAAGTTGGTCTCAAAGCCATTCAAGATATGGGATGTGTCTTCATGCTCATTACCATTTCAGGTTTCATACAGCGCAATATTTCTTGTTGTATATAGTACCCTCAGTTCTCAGTCTGACCCAAGAAAATATGTGCAGCTTAAACTCTCATGGCCACTATATTATTATGCTTAGCCATTAGTCTTGCTGCTCGAGAATTCAGAACCATTTGTAATTAAAGTTGTGAATTTTGCAGGCTGCTGCAGTCAAAGATGCACCTATTTCTGTCAGTCGGGTCACATGGAGCCCTGATGGAAGTTTTGTGGGTATGTATGTTACTTCATGCTTATGAAACCTTTTTGAAGTTGTAAGGTGAATACCTAACTGGTTGCTTTGCTGTAGGTATTGCTTTCACTAAACATTTGATTCACTTGTATGCCTACACTGGATCAAATGAGCTAGCCCATCGTATAGAGGTGAAATTCTTCTAAAAAAATAAAGCTTTGATTTGACTGCAGTTTGATTTACATTTCCTTGTTTATGCAGGTTGATGCTCATGTTGGAGGTGTGAATGACTTGGCCTTTGCTCATCCAAATAAGCAGCTGTGTATCGTGACTTGTGGGGATGATAAGTTGATAAAGGTTCATAAAGCCTCCTCATTTCAGTTTTTGGATTATTTAAAAATTATCATTTTTGTTCTGAAGAAACTTTTAATAGGTATGGGATTTAAATGGACGAAAACTATTCAACTTTGAGGGGCATGAGGCACCTGTATATTCCATTTGTCCCCATCACAAAGAAAACATTCAGGTACAAAGTAGATATCATTATTGAGGCATCTATGATTTCATATGTTTATTATTTTGGAAGGTCTTCAGCTGTATTCCACTTGTTTGAATTTGATAAATTATTAGTCTATTTGGTTATAATTTTTATGTAGTTGTTTTTGCATTAATCATTTAAACATATAAAAAGTGGTTTTATTTATTGTAGTCTTACAAAGTTACAACCCCCTTCCCATTAAAGGCATATATTGGACCCGTTAGATGAGAATATGTATTGATTTAACAAGCTATATATATGTACCCACACATACTCTAAAGGTTGTTTTTGTAACTTTGCAGTTCATATTTTCAACTGCTATTGATGGGAAAATAAAGGCATGGTTATACGACAACGTGGGTTCTAGGGTTGACTATGATGCCCCTGGTCAATGGTGCACTACAATGCTTTACAGTGCTGATGGAACTAGGTAAGCTGGATTTGGATGAGAGTAATTATTCCTTTAAGTGTCATTCTCAATGGATGATTAAGATGTAGTAGTATTATATTAAAGTGTCTTATCATGTCTTTCAATTTATTTTCCCCACCTTTCTCCAGGTTATTTTCTTGTGGGACAAGTAAAGATGGAGAGTCTTTTCTTGTTGAATGGAATGAAAGTGAAGGAGCCATTAAGAGAACATACAATGGATTCAGAAAAAAATCTGCTGGTGTTGTGCAGTTTGACACAACCCAAAATCGCTTTTTGGCTGCAGGTGAAGATGCTCAAGTTAAGTTTTGGGACATGGACAATATTAATCCTCTAATAAGCATTGATGCTGATGGAGGATTACAGGTTGGTATTTATAACTTTTTGAAGTCTTGTGGAGTATAACTACACTTCATAAAATATCCCTCATATAATTTTATGAATTTGTGCAGGGCCTTCCACGCTTGAGATTCAACAAGGAAGGAAATATTCTTGCTGTTACTACTGTGGACAATGGATTCAAGATACTTGCTAATGCTGCTGGTCTCAGATCTTTAAGAACAATCGAAACTCCAGCATTTGAAGCCTTGAGGTCACCCATTGAATCAGCTGCAATCAAGGTAGTGGTGCAGTTTAAATATTTGCTTGTATCCTGATGTTTAGATCATATTATGTATGTTTACTATCCACTTTGTTTATGTTATGTAGGTATCTGGCTCTTCTACTGTTAATGTTAGTCCTGTCAACTGTAAAGTGGAAAGAAGCTCCCCTGTCAGGCCTTCTCCAATTCTTGTATGAACTTGACTTTGTGTGTTTAATGATCATTAATGCATTATTATGATGTTAGCATAATGATGTTGATGTGTTTCATTTCTATACACACACACACACTAGCATGTGGACTATAGTTTGATCCTTGTATTCTTTTTTATAATGTGCTTAATTCAATGATGCAATACCCTTGCATACAATGGTGGACCATCTTTTGAATACTCCTGCTTTCCACTTTTGGGGGAACATCCTATTTCATATTGTGGGTCTACTATTAGATCCAAAAGGCATACATCAATTTGTTTTACTTTATGATTTAGTGTCTGTATTCCTTTGTGAAATAACTTGGCTAATTGTAATTTGTACCTTTTTATAAAGTTACATATGATTTGTGAATTATTTACTGCACCTTAATATGTGTTTGCTCATGCATTGGTTTTGGCCTTTTCAATCAAGAATGGAGTTGATCCTATGGGCCGAAGTGTAGAGAAACCAAGAACTGTGGAAGATGTAATAGATAGAGCTAAACCATGGCAACTATCTGAAATTCTGGATCCTGTCCAATGTCGGTCAGTTACTATGCCTGACAGCACAGATTCTTCCAGCAAGGTGTGTTGACTGTTTGATTATATGAGATTGCCATTATTCTACTGCAAAGTCTGTTCTGTGCACTGTTTTGATTCTGTGATCCATGCATAGGTTGTTAGACTTCTATATACAAACTCTGGCGTTGGTATTTTGGCCCTTGGTTCAAATGGTATCCAGAAGCTTTGGAAATGGGCTCGCAATGAACAGAATCCAACAGGGAAGGCTACTGCTAGTGTTGTTCCACAGCATTGGCAACCCAACAGTGGCCTTGTTATGACTAATGATATCTCGGGTGTCAACCTTGAAGAAGCAGTCCCTTGCATTGCACTTTCAAAAAATGACTCGTATGTTATGTCTGCCTGCGGTGGAAAGGTTTCCCTATTTAACATGATGACATTCAAGGTGTGTGTCTGGATATGCAACTCTGATATTCCATTTATTTGTTTAGTTTATTGATTACTTTACTTTTTTTATAGGTAATGACAACATTCATGGCACCGCCTCCTGCTTCTACCTTCCTAGCTTTCCATCCGCAGGATAACAACATTATTGCCATTGGGATGGAGGATTCAACCATTCACATCTATAATGTCAGAGTGGATGAGGTGATTACTTTCTCTCTACCTACTTGTTTTCTCATTTTGATAATTATTTCTAACAATCTTACCATTTATTTCCCTTTTGGGTGTATGTCTAGGTGAAATCAAAATTGAAGGGTCACCAGAAGCGTATTACTGGTTTAGCTTTTTCAACCAATCTTAACATACTGGTTTCATCTGGTGCTGATGCTCACGTAAGTTTTTTAACTGTTCTCCTTTCATACAATATTCAAAGTGGCATGGAAAACCTTTCAAAGTGGATGCACTTTATGCAAGTTTTTTGTTGCTTGCTGCACTTGCTGGATTTTTTTTTGTCCTTTTCTTTTTTGGGCACTAGAGTTAAAGAACCCGTGTTTTACTCATATTTGTGCCTCTATTATATCATACAGCTTTGTGTGTGGAATATTGATACATGGGAGAAAAGAAAATCAATTCCAATACAACTACCAGCAGGAAAGTCATCTGTTGGTGATACACGTGTACAGTTCCATTCCGATCAACTTCGCTTATTGGTAGTCCATGAGACTCAGTTAGCAATATATGATGCCTCTAAGATGGAACGCATTCGGCAGGTATGAATATTCATCTATTGTTGATAAAGCTACTCGTTTCTGACAAAACTAAAATTGAGATATACTCATATTCCTTTGCCGCAGTGGGTTCCCCAAGATGTTCTGCCTGCCCCAATATCATATGCAGCTTATTCCTGCAACAGTCAGTTAATATATGCTGCATTTTGTGATGCCAACATTGGTGTTTTTGATGCTGATAGCTTGAGGCTCAGATGTCGTATTGCACCACCAATATGCTTGTCACCGGCAGCTTTAAGTGGGTAAGTTTCAATTCAGTGATCTGTACTCAATTAAAGAGAGTAACACACTATTCTCTACACACTTACAATTATCGAGTAGATTTCATGTCAGTCCCTCCAAATAATCTTCTCCACTCTTTATTTAGCAAGTCCCACATAAAAATTCACCTAATAAATAATTATATTGCCAACATTTTCTCATGTATTAAATATTGAACATTTGTTCAAAGGTTGCTTTTGTGAAACGGTGAGCTTGATAGTTGATCCTTGCTTGTGTATTGCAGAAGTCAAGCTGTGTATCCTCTTGTGGTTGCGGCTCATCCACTAGAAGCTAACCAGTTTGCTGTTGGGTTGACGGATGGATCTGTGAAAGTGATAGAACCCTCTGAATCAGAGGGTAAGTGGGGAACATCCCCACCTATGGACAATGGAATATTGAATGGTAGGGCAGGATCATCATCTACAACAAGCAACCACACGGCTGATCAGGCCCAAAGATAAGATCAATTGTATTATACTAGTGTAGTTCTTCTCATCTGTAATTTTATCAGCTTAGGTGTTTAGATTTTCATTCACCAATATGTCTCATCAAATATCAGTTCAGCTTGAACATAAAATGGTAAATGCCTAGACGTATACTCGTGTATACCTTAATTTATTTTATTTAACTCAATTTTATTGTTTATATTTAGTTGTAATGTTCTTGTTTCTTGCTAACAAGCGTATGTGTCAATTTTCCTTGCCTTGTGTCACTTTATAATTATTGGAATTAAAAATGTTGGAGAAAATTCCACCCCCAAATTATTTTTTTCAATATTATTTATTTATTTATCTTTAGACTTTCCATGCCCTCTAAATTCAATTTTGTGAAAGGCATTTTTTTTCTCGAGATGTGTGATTTTGACATTGAAAAGGCATATTTTTCTCACATTCTTTAAAATTAATTATAATTAAATTTTTTATATTATTTTTTTTCTTTTTTCTCTAAAAGTTAGTTGCATATATTAGCATTTTCAAAGTTTTCTTTTCTATTTTTGTAATCTAAACGTAAACTGTTTATGTTACGTTAATTATTTTCAAAATCACTTTGGCAAAACTCACAATTGTACCGGTAGAAATTTATGAAATTATTGTACCAATTCATTTTCTTTACAGTATCATATTTTCAAATCTCAACTATGATTTATTACAACGTGTGTAAAGTTTATTCAGTATTTTCTAAATAAAATTTAACGTGTATAACTGAATCTTTACTAAGATTATTTTATACTAATAGCAATGTTCTATCCTTTGGTGTACGCATTTGTTGGAAAATTTTGTTTTTCAACCTTACTAATGACCAATTTATTGAGGTATTAATTTTTTGAAAGGAACTGATCTCATACTATATTTTTCTCTTAAAAATTACTGATGTAATTTGATTTTTCTACAATGATTCTTATTAATTTTATGTTCAAGCTAATTAAATTAATTTTTCATTTCTTTTAAATACTTGCAATTTTTTTTTCATCTAGATTTAAAAATATTCAAATTGCACACTACAAGAAACTCGGTGATTCTATTTTAAAGAGAACGCAGACCCTGCTGTACAATATTGGGTGAATTCAGGATACACTCTGTATAAGAATGAAATCTGTAAATTCATATAAAATCTATATAAAAATCTTTCTTACATTTTTTTTTATCTTTAGTTATATATATATATATATATTTATCTTTTTTTTTATATACACATAATAAAAAGCACACACCAAAATCAAAGAGAAATTTTTTGTTTTACTATATAATATTCAAAAACATTTTCCTTATTAAATTCAAAGATAAACATTTTATGTTCCTATTTAATCATCAAAAAATTATTTTCCTTTATTTAATGTTTTCATATGCTTGAAATCCTTTTTTGAGGATAACAAAATTACTGGATTTCATTTATAACTTGTTCTACAATACAAAAAGGTATGTGGCTAAAGTCAACAAGGCCAACTTAAAATTCAGTCACTTTAACTAAATTGTAAGCAACTGAGTTTGCTTACTTCGGAGAGAAACTGACCATATAATTATTAAGCCTACTGAGAATTAATAAACAATTTTGAATAATAACACCAAACTCTGTTAGATCAGTTTGACGACTGTTCATGCTATGGATATACTTGAAATTCTAACAAGCTAAAAACAAGTACATCTCGCCATTTGTAATGTGAGTATATTTATTATCAGTGGCTTAAATATTAGATACTACAGTATTAATAATTATATTTATTCTATGATTAACGTTTACCTTAAAAAAAGTTACTTAGTAGTTAGTGAATCATATAAATAAATTTTGTTATCTAATCATTAAGAATATATGATATGGTTTAAGAAGAGAGAAAAACAGAAAAATAATAAAGCATAAAAATGCATTTTACTCAAATGGAAAATCTACTTACAAAAGTACACATGGTGACTTTTATAGTCAATCTTAATGATACTAAAATTTTATATCTATGATATCAATAATTAATTTGTGGTATCCTAATTCCTAATCGTTAGATTTTAGGTGTAAATATAACATTTATTTTTTGAACCAAGGTATGATAATATTTAACTTGCATAGAAAATAATAAATGTTAGTAGATTAAAAAAAAAAAAATTGGTTAAAATTTGAAAATTTGGTTACGTGAGTCGTGACCCAACAATGGGTTAGTAAAACCGTAAAAAGACAAATATACGGGGGCATTCCGAGAATTGAACTCGGGACCTCTCGCACCCTAAGCGAGAATCATACCACTAGACCAAATGCCCTTTACGATGTTATTATCATATTTTTAAAAATAAGTACATATAAGCGTAATGCACCGTTTTAAAATAAAAATAAATCTCTTATTACATAATCGAATTACATCAATCATTCATGGTCCTGATCCTGAATAGGGTTAGGGCTAGGGCTAGGGTTTACATAATCGAATTCCCGCGACGGTGCATTCGAGCATAATCGATGGCGAATCGCACGGATCCAGCAGCAAAGAGCATCAGAGGGACGAACCCTCAGAACCTGGTGGAGAAGATTCTCCGATCGAAGATCTATCAAAACACATACTGGAAGGAGCAATGCTTCGGCTTAACGGCGGAGACGTTGGTGGACAAGGCCATGGAGCTGGACCACCTCGGCGGAACCTACGGCGGCAACCGCAAACCCACTCCCTTCATGTGCCTCGTCATGAAGATGCTCCAGATTCAGCCCGAGAAAGAAATCGTCATCGAGTTCATCAAGAACGAGGATTACAAATACGTTAGGATTCTCGGCGCTTTCTACTTGCGTCTCACTGGATCTGACATTGACGTCTACCGCTACCTCGAGCCCTTATACAATGACTATCGCAAACTCAGGCGAAAGCTACCTGATGGACGTGAGTTTCTTATCGGTTTTTTTTTCGACGTGATTCTGGATAAGCTAATGTTAAACCAAATACCAAACACGCGCTCATTCTTTGTTGATTTTATCGCTTGCTTCTTAGGCTAATTTGTTGCTTTTGATTTGCAGAGTTTGCATTGACGCACGTGGACGAGGTCATCGATGAACTTCTCACAAAGGATTACTCCTGTGATATTGCTTTGCCACGCGTCAAGAGGAGGTATTTTTCTATTTTCTCTGTTGGAATATGTAGTTTTGAGGATTCTTATTTTTGTGTATACATTTAATTTGGAATTGCGCTTTGCGCAAATTTCCCTGGTTGTTTTGCTATGCATAAATATGGTCTTAACGATGTCATTTTGGGTTATGATTTTTGGGGGATGTGAAATTAGTACTTTAAAACAGAGATTACGAGTGTGTGTTTTTTTTGTGTGAAGATGTTTAGTTCTCGTCTTATGTTTTGTTATAGGTGGACTCTTGAATCTCTGGGTTCATTAGAACCTAGACGAAGTGCACTTGAAGAAGATTTTGAGGAGGAAGAAGAGAAAGAGGATAATGACCAGCCTGCTGATGAGATTGAAGATAGGGCTTATGAGAAGGTGCTTCCCTTTCTTTCCTAATTAAAATATTATCTTATTTTTTGAATGTTTAAATAAATTTAATTCGTTGTGATGTTGTGGTTTAATTATTGAATGATTTGCAGGATTATTATCGTGGGCGAAGCCCTACAAGGGAAAGATTG